ACCTCTTCTAGCTTTTCTAAGGTTTAAAATTAGGCACCAACTCTCATCTCATTTCTAGTAATTAGAATGAGGAGCTTTGTTGAATTTCATTCTGTTGAGTATGTCTTTGTATCTCACATCGGGACTTTTATAAAGAAGTATCTCCTCTTGGTAGATATAAATATAGTGGACTTAAGTAAGTTTAAATGTGCTAAGGACACCGACCCAAGTGCCATATGCACCAGTCCTAGAGAGTTTTGGTGGGCCCACACCCCAGTTTGAGAAGAGTTTTGGTTTGGTATCAAACCAACCTTTGAGCCATTAAATATTTAGTGCTATTTAGACTCTTTTGTATTTTAGTTTTAGGTGCCTTTTGGACCCGAAAATTATTTCCTAGGATTTTGTACTCTCTTTCTGTTATAGTAAATCTGCTACCCTTTTACTCGTGGATGTAGGTCAATAGGACCGAACCACGTAAATTCCTGTGTTTCTTTGTTTGATTTATTTGTTTTGTTATTATCATTATTGAGTTGGCAAGAACCCTTGACAGGTGCCGAACCTGTGCAATAATAAATACCTGCTCAAATAAAATACAAATTCTGTATGTAGCGGTAAGCAGGGTCGAATCCACAAGGACTGGGGATAATTTAATTTCTTCTCAAGTTCCAGATATGGGGGGTTTTTGAAAATGAGAGTAACTAAATTACTTGGAATGAATTAAAATAAAATAAAATAACTACAACTCAAATAACTAATTATCACAATAAAAGTAATAATGGACGAACTCTAGCCAAGAGACAACTTCAGAGATGGTTCACTTAATTCGATCACAGATGCAAGGATTATTCCAATTACTATCTGATAAATTAGTTATAGTTGTCAACACGCGATAAACAACCAACTCTTCCTCAATTTGTCGATAGCCAAGGTACGACCGTTGACTATTTCTCTAATCAGGAAATAACCCTAGGTACGACCATAGAAGTTCAATTCCCTAATTGCATGAATAATTAGAAGAGTCTAATTCTAACCAATCAACACGCTACGAGGGTCTCTTTAAGTTAGCCTGTCTATCCCCCTGACACGAACCCAATCATGCCAGTTGCCACCAGTTTAGAATAATTAAACAATTACGGATTTAACTATCCTAATTGGCTTCATGTTATTGAATTAATCTAGAATCCGGGCCCTGGATAATCGAATAATAAAACAACCATATGAACATAAAGCAGAAGATAGACAAATACCAGTGAATAATGGAAATAAATAAAAACTAATTCGATCTCACAAATTTAGTAGAACCAAATCCTCCGTTGTTCTTGACTAGACAAATTTAGCCACGCCTCATAAGAAAATCTTCAAGTAATTCCAATGAGGTCCAGGCCATCAAAAGAGCCAAGGAAGAAACAAAACTAAACTATCCTAAAAACTATTGATCCCCCATCTCTCCTACGTTTCTCCCTTTTTAAAGCCAAAAGGAAGTCTAATGCTATCTCTAGTGGTCCCCACACCAAATTCAAAGTCTTGTACGTTTCTTTTCCTAGAGTCCAAATGACTCATGCTTCTTATCCGTGGTCCCCGCACATGTGGACAAAACCTCTAAAGTACTTCTTGCTCCAAGTCTCTTACGTAGCTTTCTTTGAAAAGCCCACATGACTAAATGCCTTGCACTAGCTTGTGGTCCCCACCAATTCAAGAGTCCAAGGTCCTTAGAAGTCTCAATTTTCCCATAAAAGTCCCTCCTTTTTGGTAATTTTCTGCTTTGTTCCTGAAATTAAACCCCAATACCAAATATAAGTAAATATTAATAATTAAAACAATATTTGGCAAGAATAAAAGGGGAAATTAACAATAAAATTACTAACAATTAACACCCTATCAACCCTATTATTCTCATTGGTCAATTTCCTGGGACGAGACCTAACAAATTGGTATCAGAACTTTAGGTTTTGGGTCATGGTTAGATTTTGGATTCTTGATGACAATAATAGGTTTTGGGTGCTACAGAGAGTGAAGAAAAGAAATTTTCATTGGAGTTCAATTGGGTTTTGAAGAAGAGTTATTTGGCCTGTTGGAACTCGTTAAGGGCATTGAGAAGAAGGTAGAGCAAGATTACTATGTTTGTGGTTTTTAGCCCATTGGGATCTGTTGAACCTTTTGTGAGATTTGACCCGTTGGGACCTGTCGAACCTTTTGCATCTTGGTTCGTTGGTGACTCGTTGTGGTTTGTTGGGACTTTTATGATTCATTGAGATCCGTTGGGACTTTTATAAAGAATGTGGAGCTTGTTTGCTATTTGTCTACTATTTACTGATGTTGAATACATGCTAAAGTGGAGATTTGTTGAGTATGTCTTTGTATCCCACATCGGGACTTTTATAAAAAAGTATCTTTTCTTGGTAGTTATAAATATAGTAGACTTAAGTAAATTTAAGTGTGCTAAGGGCACCAACTCAAGTGCCATATGCACCAGTCCTAGAGAGTTTTGGGGGCCCACACCCCAGTTTGAGAGGAGTTTTGATTTGGTATAAAACCAAAAGAGCAAGTCAAGGGTCTTTGGGCCATTAAACATTTAATGCTATTTAGGCACTTTTGTGTTTTCAATTTTAGGTGCCTTTTGGACTAGAAAATTATTTTCTAGGGTTTTGTACTCTCTTTCTGTTATAGTAAATCTGCTACCCCTTCCTCCGTGGACATATGTCAATTGGACCGAACCACGTAAATTCCTGTGTTTCTCTGTTTGATTTATTTGTTTTGTTATTGTCATTATTGAGTTGGCAAAAACCTAATTATTCTCGTTGGTCAATTTCCTAGAACCAGAACTAACACATTCAATCATTTATGTAAATTTACTTTGTTTAAGGAATCATCAAGCTAGTTCATACTTTTTCTTTCTCAAAGCCAATGGCAAGTTCAAGTCTAAGAACTTTTCGATTAACTTCCTTCATCGTCTATTTCCTTATCAGTTGCTTCTGCACGGCGATTATAAGTCGTTGTGCAATCAAGCCAGGATGATTACCAATATCTGACGAGTTAGATGTAGTTGTACTCCAAATCAATTTAAGAATATTGTAAGAGAACGATCATGTAACTTCCATATTATTTGATACTTTTCATGGAGGACGTTGAATTGCGCTTATCACTTGATTCTAAAGCCCCGTGTGTCGTCATGACTTAGGAATCACTTGAGCAATACTCCAAGGACTACTGATGCAAAAGTTCAACGCATCATATAAAAGATTGGAGAAGTATGGTTCACATTCAAGCCTGCTGATAGAGGAGGGAATCAATCGACTTATAGGCCTTTTAGCAAATTATGGATCCTCTTACACTTCCTTTTTTTGCCAAAAGAATTAGTAGATTAGATAGGATAACTTCTATCAATTAACGTTAGGATTTGTAATCAAAATTCTTGCCTGCCCTTGGCTAACATGATAGAATCTACATTTAGCAACCGCCCAGGTTATAACTGTTATTGTTGACAACAAATTACGTTGTCTATCTATCTCTTTTAACTTAGTTATAGAACTTATTAGAGCAAAAGGGTCATTCTCGTATTACTGCAAATTATCAGACAAATTAAGATTCTGTGTCAGAGTGAGCAAGCTTTACAGTGACAGAATTACAGAAACTTAAAGCCAAGCTCCATTCTATTGATGTGCTTTCCTGGTCTTCCTTTGTGGCTTCTTATATTATAATTAAACCAAGCATCAAGTAAAGAAAAAGAAAAGCACCCCCCCATTGCTAAAGGAGTAAAGTCATACGGTTTAACTAATTCGTTGTCATTTCTCACGTTGGAACTACCTACGATTCTTAAACAGGAATGCCCTACATTCACCTCTGCTCATGCCAAGAATAGTACATGACTATGGCTCTACCAAGCTGGAAAAGGAGCAAAGGAAAATAAAAATAATAACTAGAAATTTTTGGCATAAATGTCATTAATCAGTCAGAAATTGATAATAGTTTCCTAACTTATTTAGACCATATACATAATCCAAACAGATTCAGATCAAATACACATATTTAACCAGATTTGCAAACCTAAAATATTTTTAGAAACTGACTTTTGATTTATCTATTGAAAAAACTTAGTAAAATTTCGCCTATTTGCCCCCAAAAAGTAATTATTAGTTAATACTCCTTCGCTTTATAACTTTCCTATAATATACTAACATCTACTTGCCGAGCTAAGATAAGATGCCAATTTAATTATGATTATTTAATTTCCTAACTTTAAATTAAAATATCACTTGAAATATAAGTAGATTACAAAAGGAAAATATATTCAACAGGAAAGTCAAGTTGTCATTCTAAAAAATACAATTGAAATGTTATTGTATCGGAGGTCCTTGTTTTCAACTAAGGAACTCTAGACTCTATTCCCTCCAATACAAGTTCTAAAATTAAACTAACTTTTGTTTAGAAATTCTTCTATTATATTATTAATTTTTAGGTTTTAACATTTAAACAATAATTTTCTAATTGATTATTTTCTTAACATTTAACTTTGACGGGATTTGTATTTTTGATTTTTCACTATGTTATCTTACTTCATTATTGAATCAAACATAATTTGCTAGGATTCTAAGATTAATTTTTAACAAAAAAGAAAATTGTTTATGACTTTTGAAGATTTTGTCTAAAGCGTTAGAATGCTAGTTATAATATTTTGAATTTATAATTTAAATTTATCATACTTTCTCTACTTCATTTTCTTATATTGCCATGCACTTGATTTCTCGCCCCCCTAACCGAAAGTTTTGGCTACATCTCACTTCAGTGAGCTTTGCAAGCCTAACAAGCTTACCTGCAGATCACTTGAAATTTCCAACCTCTCACAAACTTCACTGGATAAAACCATATTCAAAGCAAGGAACATGATTCATTCAACCTTTGGCTTTATTCCTTTCATTTTATTTTATTTTTTGGGTTGAGCCATTCTACCTTTATTCCAATTAGAACATGATAAATAAGGCCCCCAAGCCATTCTTTGCGCCACCACATCTCTCATCAAATACCTCAACAGCTTCCCGCAATAGCTAGTAAAACTTTGCCAACTACAAGGGGCCAGCAATCGCAGCCCATTCAGCCACAACAGCAACTGCACCCAATTCAGCAGTTGAAAGAGCTGTGCCCCGCCCAACGAGTGAAATTGTACCCATAACCAGGGCCATCCACTGTCTCAAGCAACCAATAAAGCAATGGAGATGGACAGGGTGAAGGAAGTTCTAGATACACATGTACCAGATGGCCGTGATTTTGATGTAAAACCTCTCGTCCCCATCGTTGAGGATATCATGAAACGTGCTACATTTCTTGGCGGTGTATGTTATTGTTACTAATTTATTGTCCTCGTTTCACGATATGTACATAATGGAGTGTATATATATGTCCTTGTCCATGAATGTGTTGTTCAGTCTATCACCTGTTCTGACATGAAATTGTATCTCTGTTGTGCATTTTAGGGGGCACAAGATCAAGATTATGCTGATACATGGGAGGATACGGCTATTCGCAGCGGTTACACTGACATGCCAGAATTAACATATGCTATCAACAAAACAATTAATGAGGTATGCGTTCTGTATATGTACATATCAGAGCTCCAGTGGACATAGGACTTTCACGAAGCACTAGACACAATTTCGGCGAATTCAACCATGTTCGAAATAGAAAATGATATTGCACTAACACGCGCGCACACAAAAAGAGGACATTGCATAAACAGATCTCAGACTAAAAAAATATATTGTGCATTTGTACTTTACTGACATTGTTACTCAATGTTGTAAACGTAATGTATGGCAGGTAATCTGCAACTGCAGTTCGGAGGAGATGAACATTTTGTTGCTATGGCACTCTGCCGGTCACTATCAAGATATGCGTGGGAGGACAAGGTGGCAATAGCTCTTGCAGCTTTTGCTGTGAGTTATGGTAAGTTCTGGCTGGTTGCTCAGCTTCGCACTACGAATCCACTAGCCAAGTCACTTGCAGTTATTAGGGAACTCCCAGAAATAATCGAGCATACTGAAGCCTTGAAGCGAAAGTTTGAGGCAGTTAGTAACCTCAGTAAGGCAATGCTGAATGTGACTTCTTGTATTATTAACCTCAAGGAGCTGCCCATAGAGGACATTGGTCAATCAAATGAATGGGTGTTTCTTACTGCTCATGTCCCCACAGCAGTTTACTGGACTGTTCGTAGCATTGCTGCTTGTTCTTTTATACTGAACCTTACTGCCCTTGGACCCGAGTATGTTTCCAGTTTTCCCTTCTGGCCAAGCTATATTCTTGGTTTCTCTGACTATTTGGTCTGATGATAGAAAATGTCCTAGTAGCTGAACGTGCTGGCATGTACAACAAGAAGATACCTTCTGCACTATTTCTTACAATGTTTTCAGCAGTACTCCCTAGAAATTTATGCTTGCCTAGCTATTTGCAATTTTCATTAATGCAATGAAGCATGACTAAGCAGTTAGACCAACATTTGCAAACTTATTATTGTGATTGCTTACTTGTAATTTTTTTTTAACAGGTATGTCGACTCAGCTGCGGAGGCGTGGGACTTGAATGGTGTGGCTCATAAGCTTGCCAAAATTAAAGAGGACCTGAAAGAGCAAATGAATAGTATAAAGCAGAAAATAGGTAAATTACCTGCATATTGAACTGTTCAGAATACTATGTGGTACACATACTATCATAAAATAGGTAAATCAGAATTGTGTAAACTACTTCAGCATTTAATGAACAAGTTCCCATGTTACAGAGGACAAGAGACAGAATGATGCATATAATGCACTTGTTGAACTGTTTAAGACACCCAACACTGACAACACGAAGATTCTTAGTGCTGTGATAAATGTCAAGGAGCACCAGCTGCACCTGTATGATGGAACTAACAATAAAAGAGTTTGTCACTGCTCTTCACCAGAACTCATCTTCCCTCCTTTTGCATGTTGTCTATCATAGTATCATGTATGTGACGTCTTTCTATCTTTTGGATGATGACAGGCCAGCCTTGACATATTGAGAAAGAAACATGTTTTGCTACTTATTTCAGAACTTCACATACCCCAAGAAGAGCTCTCTATCCTCCATCAGTTTTACACCGAATCAAGGCAACAGCCAACTAAGCTAGATAAACAGTACGAGGTTGTTTGGCTTCCAGTTGTTGACACATTCTCAAATGCAACTGATGAGCAGTTTGAGCTTGTCCAAAACTCAATGCCATGGTACTCGTTCACCCTATCATGCTTGAGCCTGCTTTCATCAGATTCATCAAGGACGTCAAGAGCTTTGACAAGACACCACAACTTCTGGTCTTGCATCCACGGGGAGTTTTACCAGGTTACAATGCTCGGGACATGATGTGGGTTTGGGGTAATTTAGCTTTCCCTTTCACTGAAGAAAGAGAAAAAGAACTATGGACGGAAGCAACCTTGATAGAATTGTTAGCCGACTCCATTCATCAAAACCTCTTACTTTGGGTATTGACATCTTTCTCATCTCGGACACCAATAAACTCGCTAATTTGGGTCAAGAAATAGTAAAATAAGCCAAACTTGAAATTCTGCAGAGTGGTTTTACATTGCTTCTTGTACCAAGTATATATAATAGTATTGAACATATTTCATGTTACACAGGCTGATCAAAACAGATACATATGCTTGTATGGTGGAGCGGACATTGAATGGATCAGGAGATTAACAACTATTATGCGGTCTGTTGCAAATACTGCACGTATCCCTCTGGAGATGCTCTATGTGGGGAAAAAAAACCCGAAGGAAAGCATGAGGAAAAACAATTTCATCATCCAGGCTGAAAAAACCTAAGCCACATTTTGCCTGACCTGATTAAGATCCAAATTTTCTGGATGAGGCTGGATATCATGCTTAAGTCCTGGGTCAACACGGCATGTTCGTGAAGAGTGATTTAATACACCATGTTGGGAAAATAATTTGCTATGACCAAGATGGCAAGGGATGGGCTTTCATTGCCAGAGGCCGGCATGAGATGGCTAAAGGAATAGACAAAGAAGTTTACCAGTGCTTGAGCAAGTTTGACGAGTGGAAGGACAAAGTTGATTACCCCGACCGCTTTGTGATTGCTCTGGACGAGCAACTTCGTGAGCTCCAGACCCCTCATCACTGCAACCGCCTCGTATTGCCCGAAAGTGGGCAGATACCTGAGAAGGTGTCTTGTGCTGATTGCGGCCGTCCCATGGAGAGTTTCATCATGTACCGTTGCTGCACCGATTAAATTCAGCAATTATCTTGAACCCAGATCACGTTAGCTTTGGAGAACCAATCTTGAAGAATAATAAGCAAGCAGCTCCTGGTTCTCCCAAACTAAACTAGTACCATATATTCAAGAGTTTGCTATTATTCAGTGATACATAAAAGAATAAATTTGCTGTAAGTTTTGCTTCCGTGGCTTTCATGCCTCCTATGATGACAGTAATAATGCTGTGTGCTGTAAAAGTAATATTAAATATTCCTAGTAATGACTAAACAAAGCTTTCCTCTTAATCTTCTCATTATCTCATCTTCCTCTCAGTTTTTGGCCTTTTTTTGTTTGACTACTTTTACTTTTTTTTTTCATTTTTTGTTCTTATTTCTATTATATCTTTTGCAGAATGCAGAAATAGTAGTTTACTGCTGCGAAGAAATTAAGCTTCCCTGGTGATTACTGATTACAAACATATGCAACTTTTTCCTGGTTTTTCTTTGTGATTATTTTCTGTTTTCGTTCTGCACTCTACAGCCAAGTTCTTCCATTTAATTGCTGCTCAGTGTTCTGCCAGTGAAGGTCGATCAGTGACCTCTATAATTGAGAGGAGATAGTAAGTGATCATTAGATTCATTCATTTTTGGTGTAATTCATTCTTGATCTTTAGCTTCCTCTTCTTTTATAAAGAAAGTTGATCTTTGGTATTCTCCCGAGTTCTTACTCATGAAATCCATTGAGAACCAATTAATAAGAAAGTCAGCTTAGTAGTTATAATCTAGTTAAATTGTAACAAGCGAAATACTTAATCCATGCATGTCTTTAATTGCTCAAACCACACTTTGATACTATTTCCCTTAGAACTAAATTCATCAATTAAGTTTTAGTTTACAAAAATATTGATGACATTACTTAACCAAGCGGAGAAAATAAATTGTGATTATAATGGTTGTAGATATAATAGGGATAATCATTAATTAGCACGAGTTTGAATCAACCAATGCAAATTGGAACAGAAATTAGAAAGAAAAAAAAATTGTAGCTTGATTCTAGAGTTTCAACCTTAGTCCCTAGGCAAAGACGCAGCAACAGATCTTCTGTCTCATACCCTATGCTACTCTCTGTTCAACTTTTTATTATATTGTTATTTCTCCTATATAAATATCATGTTTTAGTTCTTTTTTTGTTTTCTTAAAATTCAATAACTATTAATTGAGTAAAAAATAAATACAACAGCTTCAAAAAAGCAATATATAATAGAAAATTAAAAAAATATAGCAGAAAATTCATAAAAAATCTCGTTTTTATGCATTTTGATTTTTTGAGTTTGTTAAATTTTGTGTATTACTCAATTAATAGTTATTGGATTTTAAAAAAACAAAAAAGAACTAAAACATGATATTTATTTAGAAGAAATAGTAATATAATAAAAAGTGGGACAGAGAGTGGCACAGGGTGTGGGACAGAAGATCCGTTGCTAGGCAAAGAACTCCTCGGTGGCGTGAAGCAATATTTATTTATTTACAACTAATATACTAAAACCTGTAATCTTCCCAATCCTCAAAAATTCAAGGGAAATAAACCAAACAAACATACGCAAGTAGTAATCGTAACAATCCGAGCATTGAACAACTACAACAACCTGAGAATTGAATGTTTTAATCGGAAATGGTCGGAATGAATTTTGAGTTTTGATGTATCTTTCATTGACGCGTCGATTGTGAGCCAACGAACACAATGTCTCACTGAAGCAAAACCCTAGAATTGAACTTCAAGCTGATTTTGGAGATGAGAGATCTAGAAGCAATAACTCAGGAAAAAAAAGAAACATATACACCACAATGAAAGCCAAAAGGAAAATAAAAGGTAATTTGTTGATATAAAATTACTGATTTCGACACAACTTGAACAAGTTCTCTACCTTGTAATCTCACTGCTTGCATTATTATGTATGATCACCATTATCATTTGACAACAAGATTAAATTATCCTCATTTTCGCTTTCACTCTATCTGTTTCTTAAATCTCACATTTTCTCTATTATAAAAAAAATAAAAATAAAAAAAGAAAAAGTTGAGTCAAATCACTGACTAGATTGAGGACACCTTTTCGTATTTTGCCAATAGCATAATATTTATCATGCAAGAATCCAGCACTGTACTGTATCGACAGAAATTTTCTTCCCTCGCATCCGATTGAAAGCCCCAAGAACTTCCCAGTCAAGGCAATTGTTCTACTACATAAAGCAAGAGATCAAGAAAACCAGCAATCCATCTTATCATATGGGTTGCATAACTTTGTGGTCGGCCTCTTGTTTTTACATTAGTAATTTTGGTTATAGAAAGTAGTGATCCTTTACAACACTTTAATCGCTTCTGCGGACATACGCAAGAGAAGTTACACTGCTAATTATATAAACTTCAATTCTTGTTGTATCGTGTTGAAGTACATTCATATAAAAATATCCAAGGTGTACACAATCATTAATTCGATGTATCATGATAAGACGAAAACTTAGGCAAAATTTTTTTTTTTTAAGATAAGATGTATTAACAGTGAATAACCTTTTTCTGATAGCTCCATTATAGTTTGGAATTTCATCCTTTTTGGAAATACTGTAATTCGTTGGTATGTACTTATACAAAAAAATTATTAGTTGTTTAATACGCCATAATATGAAAAATCCAATTTCTGAGTTTATATTTGGGATATTCTTGCTCCAAGACCATTTGGGATACTCCAAGACCATTGGATTCAGTTTCGATTTGTGTAGAAGGAATGAGATGCTGGTGAAAAAGGGTCAAAAAGCCCCTTCTTTTCTCAAGACTGGAACAACCATTGTGGCTGGTTTTTCAATTAGGTTGTGCAAGTTTTCTTATCAATTGATTTTTCTATGTTCCATTTTCTTTTTTTTTGTTGGCTAATTTGATTTTTGTACGTTTGATATGAATATCTGCCACCATCAACTTGTAATCTTTTTTTTTTTAAGTTTTTGGCTATCCAATTTTTATTGTTGTTTGATTGTGGATGATTGAAGAAAGCTCCTGATCTTTAAATGTAACATGAATGCCTGGATGTGATCGCCTATTTGAACTGGGGATGAATAATAAAGCATTGTCTATTGTAAGTTGTTTTAATGCTAAAAAAAAAGTGGATACTAGAGTATAGTGTTAATCAATTCGAGTTTCGTGACAGTTAAAAGACGATTGTAAGTTGGCTGAGAGGAGGCTTGAAATAGGAAGAAAGCTAAGAGAACTGCTTGTTTCCATCGTTGTCGTTAGACGCTATTTTCTGTCTGGACACTGCCTTGCCTAGTTGATGTTTCAAAGCCTCAGTGAAATGGCTTCTTCGAGACAACTGTTTTTCATAGCTATATGTAATGAAATCCACGTCAGAGTGGATTCATGGATATGTTTGTGCAAATATGCATATAGAGTTGCACGTGAGTCGAGCTGATCACAAGCAGTTCGAGTCAAAACTCGACTTGAATTTGGTCAGCATTGAGTTCGAGTTGAGTTCGAATTGATCAAGTCGAATTCGAACTCGAATTTGAATTCAAAGATATTTAGTTCGTTAACTCGCGAGTCGGTTTGATTTTATATTTTTATTTTATTTTAATAGTAAAATTATATAAATATCCCTAATATTTATTATTTGTGAAGAAAATTTATTATTTTATTTATTTATTTAAAATAAAATAATTTTTTTTTTTAAGCTCAAATTTGAGCTTGACTCGACTCAAATTGAGTCGAGCTCAACTCGAATTTTACATTGAAAACTCGTCAAGCTCGAATTTGATAAAATAAATCGAGACTCGATTTGGTTCAATTAAATCAAAATTCAATTCAACTCAATTTATTTGCATTCCTAATTTCAAATCTTGTTAAATTAAAAAAAGCATTCGCTCATTGAATTACCTATAGAAGCTAAGACTCCAGTCCAATGTAATATCTTGACCCAAAATGAAATTCCTATTGGCTCTAATCAGAAACCAAGATTAGAGCCCAAGACAAATACAGCTCCATTTCAGCAAAACCTCAAGGCCCATTAAGCCTCGAGATAACGACCTAATTAAGCTTCGTTGCTTTCCAGGAGATAAAGCCCATTCCATCTTTTACAGGTCACACTGGACGTTTCACCAGTGACTACACAGTCTTGATAGTTGAGCCATATTTTTGCATTAACAGTTTGGTGCCGTTAAAGGAAATGATTAGTTTATCATCTTCTAAGATATTCATCAAAGTGAAATAAGTTGATGGTTGGATCCTAGATTCCAGTAAAACAGTCATGCAAGGGGAGTAGATCTAAGGATCTCTACATTCAAGCTGTAGATGGAGCAAGAAGTAAGAAAATAAAAAGAACCTCCACTAGAAGGAGAGAGAGCTAAGAATGAAGTTTGGAACGCAAACTGCAAGGAAACAAATGAATTGAAGAAAGATGGTAGCGCACTTAGTTTACCTTACACTCTATGTAATTTGGAAGCTTTTCTCGCTCAAGTCTAGACTCGCAGGTCCTTCAGAGTTGAAAACTTGCTAATATCAAAATGATTAATCTTATACACACCGTCAGTGTATACACTATCATCTTTAAATACATGAC